GGAATACAAGTTTTAATACCATGTATACTTCACAGTCGTGATTGACTGATTTCATAACCCATAACATTTAACGATTTCAATGGACTTGAAGGAATGAAATCAAATTTTTCTATTTATTTCTTTACATCTACTAAATTATCACAGTTCAGTGGTAACAAAATACACTCATTTAACTATCAGCTATTATGTAGTTGAAATTATGAGTCAATTGAAGCTAGACCCATCATGGAAAACCTGAAAGCATTGGACGACCGTTTCGTCCTATCAGCTATTATAGTAATAACATATTAGGTCACAATGTTATTTATTTTTTAAAATTTCCACTATAATTCATAATTATTTATAATTAGTATTATACCAAATAATTGTCCGCAGGATTCGACTATTTACAATTTTAAGGATCAACATATGTCTATGTTATTATACTACTTATATTTATAGTTATTTCTCAGCATATCATATATTTCAGTAAAAATAATTATTTTTATTAGGATATGAATTGTAAAATGGTGAGACAAATGAATAAAATTTAAAAGCCTTATTTGATATAGTTTCTTAGGGAAAACTATAACTGATTGTATGGGACTCTAATTATACAGTCGAACTTATTCTTTGTTTTATTTCTCGTATCGACATTATAAAGTCATTATGACGACCAATATGATAAGGTAAAAGAACAGAAGTGAATCTCTATTCTTCTTTTTTTATGCAAAACCTAATCTTATATGAATATTGTCTATTTATACTCTATAAGTGTAAGTGAATTAGTTAAGATTCTTTCTTCTATTCTATTCAAGTATCAAGTTTTCATAGTTTAGTTAAATGAAATTCTAGGAATAATTAGTTTCTAAACCAAATTATGAGATAAATTATACAACAGAACTAATGAACTTATTTTTCTAAATGGTTCTATAAACTCATCATGTGACCAACAAAATCCTTCCTTCAACTGAATACCACCATCATATGCTCCTTTAGAGCTCGTTTTTAGCTCTTAATTAATAATTAATTAATGATAACAATTAAATAATAGATGTAGGTGCATAAAACTAACAACTCCCAAATAGAACGAAACGTGAGTCAACGATTCCATAACTAGTCACCTTCACAATCCTGTTCGCAGTATTCATAATACTTTAATTAGGTTTAGATAATAGTCAGTTAATTAATATTTTAAAACTCCTAATCACTTCATTATTTCAGTTATTTTGGTAATTAATTCAGTACAATAAATGCAAACAGTTATAAGATGATTCCTCAGTTATTATTCATTCGTGATAAGAACAAGCCAAGGCGATAAAAAAAACCCAATTAGATAACAGATAAAATGTCAGATTTCATTCCTTGAGAAAGAAAAAAAAGTAGGTAAATTTAAAATGAATCATTTTTTTTCTAGGATCGTAACAAAGTACTTCGGTAAATTTAATTGTGCTAACTATAAAATATAGGTCAATTAATGATAGGAATAGTAGTAATGGTAATAATCATTGTAAATGTTTCAAATTAGACGGCATTCTTTTAGAAATTGAACTTACTACAATGAATTCATTGATATTAATGTTTGAAATATATTGGAATAATTTAAAAATGGTACTTATCACTTACTTACTTACAAGTTATGGTTAATCTACTACTGATTATGATAAACATTAATTAAGGTCACTTACCATTTATATAATTAAAATACTAATATGGATTCGAAATTATTTTATGGTCTATTTTTATAATGGGTTAGTTATGTTGAATTTATTCTTTTTTATATTCAATATGGTGAATAATTAATTACCCATTTAACCTATGTAAAACATATGATACCTAGAAAAAGAATAATAATCCAATTTTTCGGCTAATAATAAATTTGTATAAAGTAATATATTCTTGACAAAAAGAAATTAATGGTTGCATAACTGAAGTGATTGTAATAATTAACGGTTAATTGAGGAAATTTCATGAATGGTAGTCATTTATTGCATGTGGTTGATGGTTGTTATTTTGTTTCCGACATTTATTCATATAAACCCAGTTTTTTAAGATTACACTTAAAGTGTGTTGTTAGAGTGAACGATTATAGTAGTAACAGTAATATTAGTTTCAATGATATAGAAAAACTATCTGTTGATAGTATGAGATCTTTAATTAAAATTATACTTTTACAACTAATCATCTTACGTTAATTGTAATGTTTCTTAATGGAAACACTGACGATTGATCGATAAGTTACGAATGTACCGACAAAAAAATAGATATTAAATAATTAGAAGAAATGTGAATTACACAACATGTAGGCTAAGAAGTTTGAAGCCACTAATTATCAAGCCACAAGAATCTGTCAATCAATAATAATTCTTGTTATTCTGAACATCTGATATATAGTAGACACGGTAACTGACTAATAGAATTATTTCAATACTTCAATTCATGAATCGATTGAAGCTAGACCATCATGGAAAACCTGGAAGCACTAGAGGGCCGTTTCGTCTTATTGTGGGACCCCTCGGCAGTGCGAATCCACGATCCCATCCCGCGAGATTCGGACTCAGGACCTATCATTCTCGGGCTCAAGCGCCTAACCTCTAGACCACTGAGCTGATCGGCATCCAACGGTGTTAATATCTAAATTCAACTGATTCACGAAATTGAGTGACACATCCACCATTGTCTTCATTGAGTTACTTTCACACAACTGACTTCAACAGCTTCAATTGATTCATAATCTCAACTATTGAAATTACTATAATATCCACAAAACTCCTGATATTAATAGAATTATTGTTTTGTGATATCTTGACTTGAGGTGTCATAAAATAATACATTTCGACTATTTTGAAGATAACATTATATTATATGTTTCCACCAGAAGTATTATCCTCTTTGTTAACCCTTCAAGTTAATCAATGAACTGTTTAAAGATAAAACATTGAACTAACAATTTAGTTATACCTTACTAATATAAACAGTAACAAAATTGAATTAGTTTGATTGCATTAAAAATCCGAAAAAAAGAACTTATGGTAGGTTTCTATATTTAGAAAATAAAATAGGACATTTTAATATAAACTTATTTTATAGTCCCACGTCTTCATGTATATTTATCTTCATTTTTTAATATCTCTTATGTCTAGACTAATAAATATTTACAGGACACTTGATAGTTTCTATCATTTATTCATTCAAAACAATTAAGACCATTCAAGTATTTCGGCAAGTCTAGTTGCCTTAGCCTAATACAACAGGTATTATATAATTCTATCAATGATCTGATCATTGAAAAGGTACACAAATATATTTAATCAGTATTCTTTATGAATAAAATGTTTAGGCTGAAGAATTGTCTGTGAAATTTTTTAAAATATTTGTTTACAAAAATAAAGAAAAGCTTAGACATAAACTGGTCATTTATAAATATCAGCTAACTAGAGTAAATAACGAAAGAGAAAGTAGATTATCTGTAGGAATTGATCAGTAAACTTAGTTTGTTCGTTTTTTTTCTAAAAGGATCATTTGTCTAATCAGAATATTTCCAGAAATCAATTATGTCATCAGTTGTCTTTCATCGTTTACTTATTTCCTAAAAGCGAAACCCATAATTTAATGTTAAACGTCTCATAAAAGCATTCATTCACTGTAAATATTATAGGTTACATTTATAAAGTAATTTATAAAAGTGACTATTATGGCTGTTTGTCCGGGATTTAAAGTTTTTCACTTTGGATAAATCTCAAAATATGTGGAAACTATATCACTAGTCAGAGAAATCCATAATCATAGAAGGAAAACATTTTATTAGAAAAAACGCTCTTCAGATATGGCAACTTTATGACCACATACACTATAAAGTCTTCTTCATAAATTGGTATTAAAATGAACCATATTTATTATTGACCGTGACGGTAAGTTTAAATATTATGGCTTCTACTTTTATTGTGCTTAAGGCTGTTTATATTTTCTCACTGAAAACCATTAAAAAGTTTAATCAATTCGAATAGTCCTTAGAAGCAGAGTTTAGTACAAGTATTTCGTTCTATTTCAAACTTTCTATCCCGGTGTATAATACGTTAATTTTCTGAAACAACATGTACTGTTTTCAAATCTCATCGTAATTATTAACACTGGAATGAAGATATCTAATACCATTAGAAATTCCCAAATGAACTGAACATATACTGTTCATTTTACTCCTATCTCTTTAAATGTGATAGTTAGATGAAGCTGTTATTTAGACTGTTCCAAAAATGTCAATTCAGAGGGTGAAGTAAATAACAGGCTTTGTTTCATTTTTAACTTACTTTTGCCAAAATAAAACCATACATAGATATAACTTGAAAACTTTCATTAAAACTTATAATGTAATTATAAAGCTGACATCTGTTCTAGGAGTGATGTCAAGATGATGTTTGGACATAGAAATTTTAGTTAATAATAATCAAATTATCTCACTAGTTAAGATAACAAGATAACAACGGTAATGTAATCACATAATATTTTACATATTCTATTGTTTACTAAGCTTACTATTTCAGAAGTTTATTAAACAATTCCTGAAGTTAAACCATTAAGTGTTCATGTCTAATTAATTGAATATATATACTGACACGATTTCATTTGAGACCATGAAATATACTGTAAAATTTTCATTAATTCTGGTTGGCGTTTTTTTAGCATAATCTTATTCTACGGGATAGGGTTATTGACTCCACACCCAACCCTCCTCATTTACCTGGGCTTGAGATAGGCAGTAACCTTAGAAGAGCTATAGGCAAAGATTCACTAATTCTATGTAACATATTAAACTAATGTTACAAATTGACTTATACTCAATAGTGTAATTTCATTATTTTCAATGATGTCAATGAACAATATAATTTTAATAGATTGATTGAAGCCATATTCATTCAAATGAAGGATGTACATACCATATCGTTGTCAAGTTGAAAAAAATAACACAAAAATAAAATAATCATAACAATGAAACATTAATTATACAGTTTACTTAAACTTACTTTTGGTTAATTTCTAATACAATTTTCAATTATTAATATACATATACGTCGATGTAATGATATCGTAAGGGAACATTGAAGAATATATAATATTTTTCTTTCCAGATTGAATGATAATATAATTTAGTATTATGTATTATTCAACACTATTCTCATAGAAACCAATATCAGTTACGATAAAGTTTCTCCAGTTTAACTTTTTCAAATTACTATATGATATCGTTTTATAATGACTATATAGTTGAAAGATTAAAAGTATTACAAACTAATATTTCCATGTTGTTAACTTCAAAAGTCAACATCCATTTATTTATTTTATTTTTTTTTACGAAACTGTTATGATATCCTCAAAAAATGACTTTTGACACACCCACACACAAATACATATATAGGTACATACAAATCAGTTGACATCCAGATGAACTTGAGGTAATGATTCCTGTTAACTATGATTATTTAACATGTTACATTTACAGTAGTATAAGTGATGTGTCCTATAGTAAAAAACAATATATATAAGTATTTGTGTTAGATGAAAAGGGAGAATAAAAATTGAGAAATCTAATGGTTTATAGAATTGAAAAAAAATTTCTACTTTATGGGCAAATGAAGTATTTTGTTGCACTCATCAATATATAAATATAAACCAATAATATAAAGAGCAAATAAAGTTTGTGCATCGTATTCTTATACGAGAACAATTGTTGTTTTGTTTTTCTGTTTTTTTTAAAAAAAAATTATGCCCCCAACATCTAAATTAGGAGTAGAAACACATGCATACACGTGTGTTTATTCTTATAGTTACACTGTTCATTCATTGATCCATAATATTTTGTAAAAAGCATGCTGATCTAACACATACACATAGATACAAGCACAACATACAATAGGAGTGTGGAAGAAAAACAGACAGGAAATTGTTTAGTAAAGACAGATTATGTAGAAAAACTAACCTTAGTCTGTTTGAATTTATATATATATATATATATATATATATATATATATATATCAATAATGACAACATTACTTAAATAAGTAGTTATGTTCTGTAAACAGGTCATATAAAATATATGTAAACTATATTCATTAATATATTTATGCAGTTGAATGATGTGAAATAATTAAAGTTAGAATGTTTATTTCTTAAAAGAGAGAGAGATGGTTAATAAAGTTGCCGGTAACATAGGACTGTCATGGGGTTGCCTAAACGATGATTGTCAGCTTGATTAGGGTTACAATTTCAATTTTCATAGAAAGATTTTGACAGGTAATAAAAATTCAAGATCAATTTATATGTTACAATACAAAATTTTAGTATAATCCCAGTATATATATATTAATTTTAGTCAAGCTTCAAGAAGATAGTTTCACTGAAACATGTAGAAAACTCTAGATATAGTATTATTTCTGTAAAAAATTAACAGAAATTTAGCAGTTTTAAGACTTTAATGGACAGTTTAGGTCCTTGAAATGTACATAATTGTGTCCCTTGTATAGCAAATTCATGAAGTCGAAACACGTGTATATACATGTGTGGGCCCTTTTTAATGATTATAACATTTTTGAGATAATGATTCATCTTCACGATGATGTTCACACATAACATTGTGCTTAATAATAAGATGGATTATAAAATTACTTTGTGTTTTTTTATGATCTTGAGTGATCACATACTACTACTACTTATAATAATAATGATAAAGATCATTTACAGCCCTGATAAATCAACTGGTTTTGTGTTCAAAGACAAATTCTAACAATGTCACACGCACAGTTCTTACAACTGTACGCGGAGCCTAAATATTATTCAAAATACAATGCAGAGTGATATGGTGAGAAAAATATCTATGTACAAATAATGAAGTATATTTTGAATGTAAAGTAAACGTATTCCTGAACAAAACTGACTGTGTTTTCAGATCATTTGTCTTCAGATTTGTACCTTCATTAAAGGGACATTATATATTGGATTGGAAAAACAACTTATTTCATTTCAGAAGATTTAGGTGACATACTTATTTATATGGTCTGTTTGTTGTTTGATTAGATTAAACACTCTTATACTGATTGTTGGATTTTATCCTATTATAAATTAGTTCAGTGAAACAAACTCAATTATTCCACAAAATACCGATAAGGAATGAAATTATACTGTGTAACATGTCTTGAAAAATCCTGCAGTCAAGGCAATACACTAAATAGCTGTAGCCAAAATTGAAATAAAGAGGTAAAATAGAGAGAAGTGAATATTAAAATTTCTTAAATCCTAATTTCCCTTGTCATACTGGAGAGATGGTTTAAAATTAAGCTTAAGCTCAAATATAACGAGGGAATTGAATGAAAAACCGGTTGATATTATAATAAGAATGTTAAAATTAGAGATTATTGTTTAACTCAATGAATATTTTGATTTTAGTTAAGTGAACGGGTAACCAAATGAACATGTTAAGACAAGGTAAAGAAATTGTCTTGATTATCTGTATATTCACATAAATTATAACCATGATTGTTAAGAAAACAAGGTATATAACGAATTCCATCGATATTTAGTTACATACATTACCAATGACTATGATAATTTGCGACCTGAAATTGACGAGAAAGCATAGATTACTTATGATCACGTGTCAGTTAAATCAACTAAAAACTTCACAGATGATCTGATCAATTGGAGTTATCATTCTATCGTAAACTGATGCCAACAATTGTGTTTGTATATATTCCATTCTCAGATATTTAATGCGTTTAAAACAATTAGACTATAGATATGCTTTTGATGAAAGAACCGAAAAAATGTGCTTTATCTCAATCGTTGTCACAGGTTGATGAAGACGATAGCTTTGTATAAATGAAACAAAGCTGGATTAGTGGTCGTATAAAAAATTGTAGGTATTTTTCTAGTTTGTTTTATGAGGTTTCATATACTTTATTGAAAAATGTTTATACTACTTGTTGGCACATCTTAACTAGTTATGTCATTGGATTAATTTCAGTCAACTGATTCACAATAGATGAGCATAGTTATAAAAGAAAGCTGATTAGTTGAACATCAGAAAAAATTAAATAAATGTAAGTAGATAAATGGATAACGCGTTGGCGTTTAAATCGAACTGTACTGGGTTTTAATCCCTTGGTGAACATCAACTCTGAGACGCATTTACATCCAGCTGACGAGCGTCCTGAATTCCACTGCTAGCTACTATCTATTTTTGCTTATATGTTCATTAAAACTTTCTTTATTACAGGTTTTTAGCCTCAACATCATGTCAAATTAATGTTTTGAAATAGTGATTATTGGTATTGAACGCAAAAAAGTTCATTTAAGAATAATATAATGTTCAGTATTTTGTATTATGTTATTTATTGAGATGAAAAAGCCCACTAATTTTTCAAAAATGAAACTATGAACTCACAATAGATCTATTCAAGCTAACAAGACATTAATCAATTTGTTAAATGCCATTATAAAATGGTCAAATTTAGACAACCAAACACCATCACGAAAGTATGAATTATTTAATTGTTAGTTGTTTTTAATCAATCGAGGTGTGAACTCTGTATCTAATCTTGAGAATAATCAGCGACAACAGTATATATTTCAACAGACAAACGACAGTACAGAGACAAACCGATTTCAAATACAATCACCACGTATGAATATCCGTATTACCATAGGTTAAAAGATGAATTTTTATGAGTACTGAGAAATTCGGTAGTTTATTTTGATTTTCTTTCAAAGAACATTCTTCGTTTCCTGAAAATTTTATGATAGTAGACCAAATCGATTCGTTAAAAAACACAATCCGAGAATTTTCGCTTATTCTCTACACTCTCAATTAGGACATCATTGTATAGTATCGTCCATTGTATAGATGCTAAGAGCAAACTACTGCACTTTATTACGATTATCTAAGTGCTATTTATTAAATATGTTTATTGAACAAACTTGGAAGGATCTATTGTTACTAATTTATTTTTATTAAAGGTCTGAGAAAATACCACATTCGACTACATTGATATGTTTATTTAATTTCCATATATCTCGTAAAGCATGAATAAACCAAAAGAAAATATGACTAACTTGGCAGCTGAATACACTAATTTGCAAAATAATTCACTTTAAATTAGAAATAATAATCTTTCCTTAATCTCATACAATTTAAATATTTTTAGCATTGTGCTCCAAAGCAATATTTCCTTGAAAAAGCTTAGACCAGATTGCCAAGCGAAACGTTGGATTTATTTCAAATTCATTCGCTGAGATTTTACAAATATATATTATTCCTATTTAATGTCTTAAATCAACTCGGCACCCAAATACTGTAAAATTATTCGCTCTAATTTAGACGAAAGTTCTCATTTATTAATGTGCTCCAAATCATTACTAACTATTGATCTTAAATAATGATCTCTTAAATGAATCAAGAATAACTTCATTATAGCATAGTTCTGATATAATCATTTTGAAAAAACATTCAAATGATCGGTACACCAAAAGTGAATGATGTATTTCAAGTATTTCTTAAGTTATTCATTCACTAAAATAGTAATTACGGTTGCATTAAACTAAGTTTGTTAAAACTTAACTTCACAAAAACGTCTAGCGTCCTTTTAGATAATATTGAAAATCAAACAGTGAGCTTATAAGTTCTGAATTATGCCTTAATGTATTCTGGTCGTCAAAGGAGCTGGCTATCATAGGTTGTTATTCTGATAAATAAGTTAAGTAAATATATATATATATATGGAGAACTACTACGGCCATCGTCAGGAAGGTACAAGTATTTATAACAGTTGTTTAAGCAAAATATTCAACATTCATTGGCCGGATACTATCAGCAACAGCGTTTTATGGGAGAGAACAAACCAGCTTCCAGCTGAAGAGGAAATTAGGAAAAGACTTTGGAAGTGGATAGGACATACATTAAGGAAATCACCAATGTGCATCACGACTCAATCCCTAACTTGGAATCCGGAAGGAAGGCCAAAGAACACACTACGCCGGGAAATAGAAGCCGATATGAAAAGGCTGAATAGCAACTGGAAAGAACTGGAAAGGAAGGCTCAGGACAGAGTTGGATGGAGAATGCTGATGAGCGGCCTATGCTCCTCGACGAGGGGTAACAGGCGTAAGCAAGTAAGTAAGTAATGGTCAACAGATTATTGTTGACATACCCTCTAGAACGTATATATATACGTATAACACTATGAATACAAGATAATTTATTATTGAACTACCTGAAAAACAAACAAATGAAAACAAGCAGAAAGTTGTTTACAA